TTAGAGACACTGGGAGGGCTACAACCCCTCCCCTCCCTTCCCCCTCATGACAAACACAGATAACAGCTTACACAGGGAATAAGACATTTACATACACAGTCACAGTACAATAGGGTGAGCATCAGATAACAGGTGGGGGGGGGGGGAAGCTATGCAACTTCTATACAACTGACTTAACTTAATTAAGTCTCCATTTTGAATAGACAAACCATGTGGCCAAGTCCTTGTCCTCCACCATTTTAAAACATATATTTCCCAGAGGGCAACAGTCACTGTCTGCATATAAAATGTACATTTAGCCCCAAAATCTCCTGTTCTCTTGCTGGGCCATAATCGGTGGGTAAGAGGCCAGTCTGCAGCCCCCTCCAACTAGCACAGTGACGGTGCAGTCCGTCACATCTCTCCCCCATTACAAACTGACTAACCAGGTTCCCGATCTTCAACAGGTCGGAACCTGCGTTAGACATGTACCTCCACCCCAGCAAAACACCCAAATAAAAAGTTTGTCTCTGGCTCTGGGGATTAGAACTGCACGTTCTGTCTCCCTTACATACGTACAGCCGCTGCAGGGCGGGACCGCCTGTCCGCACTCCCTGGATCCTGGGGTGGGTCACTGCTATTGGGGAGAGGTACCTGACTCTCTGCCCCGAAGCCAGCTCTTCAGCTGGGGTGGCAGACACTGGGGTAGTGTGTGCTTGCGGGGAAGGGAGAACGACTTTCTCCGCTTCCCATTCTGTGATCCACCGCTGGGGAGACATCATGCGTGGATCTGCTCTCAGATTCTCCGGATCTGTAATGGGGTTTGGGCAGAGGCCAGCGGCGCTCTGCCCTGTAGCCAGCTCTTCTGCTGGGGTGGCAGACACTGGGGTAGTGTCTGCTTGCGGGGAAGGGAGAGCGACTTTCTCCGCTTCCCATTCTGTGATCTACCGCTGGGGAGACATCATGCTGGGATCTGCTCTCAGATTCTCCGGATCTGTAATGGGGTTTGGGCAGAGGCCAGCGGCGCTTTCCCCCGAAGCCAGCTCTTCTGCTGGGGTGGCAGACACTGGGGTCGTGTCTGCTTGTGGGGAAGGGAGAATGGTTTTCTCCCCGGGCCATCCGGACCCATCACTCTTCTCTGGCTCGACCTGGGCAACACCAGGTTCGTCCAGGTGGTTTAGCGCTCGCAGTGCACTTTGCATAATCTCTGCTTCTTCCACTGCGGTTAGGTAGGGAAAACATAGGATCCCTCCGGCTCAATCTCTTCTGCGACTTCCTGACTGTCCGCTGCTTCTTCAGGACAGTCCCAGGCAATGGGAGCCATGCCTGGCTGCTGAGCACTGTCGAGCAGCCGCCTGTAGGCAATTTCAAGGGCCCACTCGTGCGTGGCCAGGAACCTCAAATCGTCCTGGATCCACTCTACTTCTGGGAGGTTCAACACTCGATCTCGGACCTCCAAAATGTCCTCCAGCTGCCACTCCTGGTCACTCCCAAAGTCCGGGTCCTCGGACAAGTCGTATAGCAGCCCCAAGCTGCCGTAGCTGAAGCCTTCTGTGGGGCTGCCATCTGCTGTCTCAGGGTACACTTGGGTTGCGTGCCAACGGAGGGCTCTGTAACCGTCGTCCAGCCGCATCTCATCCTGGTCCAGGACACTTAGCTCTGCCGTCCATTCTTCGGGCGGTTGTTCACCTGGAAGCACCTCTCGTGCCTCGTACTCTACCCAGTACCTTTCCAGGAAGGAGGGAAGACTCTTCCTCTGGTGCCGCTGCTCGCTGGCCAACGCCTCTTGCCAGAGTTGCTGGCGTACCACATCATACCAGCCGAACAGGATTTGCTCCGATACTGGTTCTCCGTGTTGCTCTCGCAGTTCTTGCAACCTCCTTCCGAACTCCTCTTCCATGTAGGCTGGTCCCCGTACTGCTCCTCTGCTGCTCTCCGGTTCTTGTATCCCGGTGGTGGTTTGGATGTCCCAGACTGCAGGAAAAAATCCCACCGCTTGCCACCAATGTGACGGACCGCCTGGTACCCCGACGGGGTACCTCCGCCAAAGAGCGTCTCCTGCCCGCCAAACCCCACTCTCAGCCAGCAGATTCGCAGTAACCAGCCCCTAACCCCCAATCACGAGGCAAAACTCATGTTGAAGGTTCAACGTAGAAAGAGCAACACAACATGTAAACATATAAACATGTAACACAAACCTATTTTCTACACTTGCTTGCATTTAAACAAATTGTGGAGAAAAGTGGCAAATGTAGCCTTTAATGGATGGGTGTGGAAGATATTGTATGGCAATAATGACATATCACCATTCCACAATAGTTAATGTGTGATAGAACTGTGCGGTACAACAACCAACCAATGCTAAAACACACAGGATCTTGGCTGCAGAGGTTATGACAGCAGATGTCCACGGAACATGTCACTGTTATCTATGGGAAACCAGGAAAATAATTTTCAGCGATGAAAGGAATCATGGTTCCAACAGCTCTACCATGATGGTAGAGACCTAACGCCTTGTGATAACCTTGCGTAGTCACCTCCACAATACATGAAAGCTGTTATCAGTACTAAGGATAGTCCACTGTGATAGTGAACTTTGTATATATGCTATTGCAGATGCTCTGCACATGTACAATAAACAAGTAAAATAAATTTTTGAACTTTTAATGATACCTACCAAACACTACATTTACAGTATTTTAAGTTGGGTTATTCACAAAGGAGCCGAAGAATCCAGCTGTAGCTTTGGCTGATCCTTCAGCTCTCTTCGGCCGCTGGGGCCCTTCGGTTCGACTGCTGTAATCAATGTATTCACTATAGCCCGTACAGCAGCCGAAGGCAGCCAAGCATCTCAGCCGAGCCGTAGGCATATGCTACGACTCAACTCAGTCGAAGTGACACCCGAAACGGAACGAACGGCCTGCCGCAGGGCCGGCCCTAAGCCCCGCAAATGATAGCTGGGCGGAGCCAGCCATGATCTCATGGCTGGCTCCGCCCAGTTGTAATGACAGATCGGCGTCCCCAAACGACCTGGGGATACTGGTCTGTCATTATACAGTAACAACTGAGCGGAGCCGGCCGTGACGTCACAGCCAGCTCCGCCCAGTTGTTATTCATTGGCCGGGACCTGCTAGAAGACTCTTGGCGGCATTCAGCTATTCACTCACTGCCGTTCTGCCCCTTATGTGAATAGGGGTGAACGGCAGCGAGTGAGCTAGCAGAGCTCCGGCTCAGCCGATCCAAATGTTGTATCGGCTGAGTCGAAGTCCTTCTGCACTTTGGCTCACCTGAACATGCAGAGCATGTTTGGCTGACCGAAGTGCAGCTGAAGGCAGCCAATGCAAGGCTAATTTCATCCAATGTACGGCTGAAATCAGCCGTACTGAGCCGCAGTGAATAACAGAACGTTGTTCGGCTCACTTATTCACTCGGCTGCCTTCAGCAGTTTTTTGAATAACCCCCTAAGTCAGAAAGCCCACCTAATTTACCTTAATCTGAAACTTCTACAATAAACTGTAATCAGAGGTCGCAGAAGTCTTCAATGTTTACTGGGAGGGTACTTCCTGAAGGTGTAACATTCTTGCTCTTTGATTGCAGTATCACTGATCAATTTCTAACTTCTAAGCCAAGCTTCAGGGCTGGTTCACACTATCTGCGTTCAAGCTGCACTGGCCGTTTGTTCCAGTGCAGCAAGACAAGGCAAATTGCCTTAAGATAAATGGGCTCGGTTCACACCATGGCATTCCGGTGGTGTGAGCGTAAAAAAAAAGTTTGGCATGCAGTACTTTTTTTAAGCGCACTGTAGTGAAATGCGGTACAACCACATTGCCAGACGCCCATAGAACTGCATGAAATGTCACTTGTAACATTTCAATAAAGTTCTACAAAAAAAGATCAAGCCCATCAACACCAGCAGCCATGCGGCTGAGCATGGCTACTGGTGTGAACGTACCCTGAATGTGGTTGGTGGCAGTGATAAAATTCATAGCATTGAAACTTTGATTTTAATATGTGACAGAAAGCAAATAACCTGTAGTTTGTGGTTGGCATTGCAATGAAAAGTCTGGGAGTTCCCAGATCACAAGATTACAAAAAAAGGGAGTGGGATGGACTAATACACTATAGCAGTGCATGGATGAGCAGGTAGACTGCACTTCCTATATGCATTTCAAGTCTTAATTTTTAATTATAATTGCACTTACTGCTTGTTCTTGAGAATTACAATTATGATACATTTTTATGCCTACTGACTTATTTCACAGCAATCATAAAACTGATGTTGTCTGTTCAGCATTCATTAGTATACATTCACTAGCACATTTATTTGGGGGAATTTATCAAAAATCGAGCAGACAAAATCTTGTTCATCTGTGCATTGCAACCAATCAGCTTCTATCTTCAGTGTGCTCAGTTAAGATTTTAAAAGTAAAGAGAGAGGCTGATTGGCTACAAGGCACACTTGCTCCAGATTTTATCTGCTTCAGTTTTGATACATTCCCTTCATTGTTTTTCTGTATTATATGAATTAATAAAGCCTGTCTGTGAATTATATAAATATGACTGGGTTTAGCTCGGCCATAGGCATCATGACTGGCCAATGTGGGGACGCTAGCATCACCGAATAATCATTTTTGTGTATTCTACAGTATGTATGTTTATGCATGGACCAGAAAACTTTATTACAGCCACTGATCTATGCTGGTAACCACAGGCCTGAAGTGAGCCTAATGCTTATCATGAATCAGTATGGCACATGTCAGCATTGCCTGATCCGATTAATATTTTGAGTATAAAATCTTCTTGATTGAGATACAACATTGTTGTGTTGAAAAGCAGAGCTTCTATATTGACTGGACAAACATGGCTGCCCCCATGTATATAGATAGTTACAAATTGTACACAGAAACAAGGATTTGTTGTGATATCCTATTATACTAGGTACAAAGCCGCATAAATTACAAGAACTTTATAAACAGATATTATTATTATTATATAAAAAAAATACATTATCTGTCTCTACAGAGAAACTGTGGACAACTTCTGCTGATGGGTCAGTTGAGCTCCGGATTGATCCATCCTGTCCACAGCCTCCTATGACTGTGCATCAGATGTTTCTGGAGTGTGTTGATAAATATGGTGATATGATTGCCCTTTCCAGTAAGAAGAATGGTGTTTGGGAGCATAAAACCTTTTTGGAGTATTACAAACTCTGTCGACAGGCTGCCAAAAGTTTCTTAAAGGTGAGGCTATTATTTCATCCCCATTGTCTGAACTATAGTAAACGAGCACTTGTGGCTACATTTCTTTTATAAAGACATTTTTAAAAAGTACAGAAATTCAGTTCTTAAATATATAATTGATTCACGATGTGGGGACCGTGTTCTGCTTCTCGTGTGAATATGAGCTAATGTTATCGGAGATGTACACTTTGACTGTAGGTGGCTTTTCTCTGAGAAGCTGAGCTGTCTAATTCTTGGTGGCCAAAGGCTACTCCAAAGCTAGACAAGTCCCAGGAGCCAATGTTGCTTAACAATGAAAGCTGGAACCTAACTTTTGTGGTTTTCTCTAGTTGTTTTCAAAGGAGCTGGTTCCTAAAACAAATACTTCTGGCTGCTGGATTGGACAGGCTGGATCCTGAATTTGATATTAATTTGTCAACACCTAAGCTAATCTAATAACACGGTCTTATTCTACAGCTTGCTCTTTTTCATAGGCATGCGTACAGGGTGCGCTGGATGTTCCTGGGCACACCCTAAGCACCCTGAGCACAACACAAATAATGGTCAGAATCCTGCTCCCCCAGAGGCTGCCAGGGATGTGTAGAGAACATACACAGCATAAGGGATGCCGGGGATGCTGTGTTTAATAGAACTCTGTGCACTGAACACACTGAGGTCCAGTGGCTGACCTAAGGAACAATGGGCCCTGGTGCAAGATTTTTTCTCGTGTCCCCTCTTCCCACTCCGGGGGGACACACGAAGTGGATCACACTGGCCCCCAACCCCTCCGGCAGTCTCTGCACCAAAGGAGCTTACGCTCTAATGTTCCCCCACAGTCACACACTATTATTATGCATTTATATAGCTCTGACATATACCACAGTGCTGTACAGAGAACACTGAGCCAGTCACATTAGTCTCTGTACAGAGGAGCTTACACTCTAATGCAGAATGGTACCAACTGTGGAGGGACTACAAATCCCAGCAATACATTATACAGCAATGCAGAATAGCATATAAATTGGACTCTGGACTTAGGGGCGCACTGGACTCTGGACTTGGAGACACGCTGGACTCTGGACTTGGAGACACGCTGGACTCTGGACTTGGGGACGCGCTGGACTCTGGACTTGGGGACGCGCTGGACTCTGGACTTGGGGACGCACTGGACTCTGGACTTGGGGACGCGCTGGACTCTGGACTTGGGGACGCGCTGGACTTGGGGTTGCGCTGGACTTTGGACTTGGGGACGCGCTGGACTCTGGACTTGGGGACGCACTGGACTCTGGACTTGGGGACGCGCTGGACTCTGGACTTAGAGTTGCGCTGGACTCAGGAACGCACTGGACTCAGGGACACACTAGACTGAGGAACGCACTGGACTCAGGGATGCACTGGACTCAGGGACACACTGGACTCAGGGACGCACTGGACTCAGAGACGCACTGGACTCAGGGGCACACTGGACTCAGGAGCACACTGGACTCAGGGACGCACTGGACTCAGAGACGCACTGGACTCAGGGGCACACTGGACTCAGGAGCACACTGGACTCAGGGACGCACTGGACTCAGGAACGCACTGTACCCAGGGATGCACTGGACTCAGGACTGCAATATTTCATCCAACAGACTGGGATAGAGAAATAGGTTATAATAGGGAACATTACAGCGTAATGTTCCCTATTATAATCCATTTTTCTAATTAAATAAAATAACAGAACACTGTGTGCAGTTTCTGGGCACCCCCTCCCCGACTGTGACTTTCCAGAGTCCGAAATCATCACGGCCACACTGTCTGAAGGGGGCGGAGCATGTGACACAATGCCCGCGTTAGGAGAGGGGTGATCCGGTGGTGTGTCCTGCATACCGCCTGCATTGTATTCAGGCAGATACATTGCAGGCGATATATGGGTCCCCTGCAGCCCTCCCACGCTACGCCAGTGTAAATGGGAGGACAGCAGCAGCCGAGCAGATGGACAGCCCCAAGAGCCTCCGCGCTGCCGGGCCTGCCATATGCCACCGCAGCACAGTCTTGGGCCCTGGGGTGTCCACACCAGCGGTAGTTCCGCCCCTGCTGAGGTCTGCTCCAGAGGACACCAGCCAGCAGCAGTTCCTGATAGTTTGCGGTGCCAGTGGTGGACCTAAGGAACAAAGGTCCCTGGTACAAGATTTCATCTTGAGTCCCCCTCCCAAGAGGGGAGGGGGGTGTGGGAGAGGATCTCACTGCTGGGCCCGGCCTCCTCCACCTTCTCCTCCTCCCCTGTCAGTGGGCCCCCCAGTCTCCTTGGTCCCTGGAGGGCCGCACCGACTGCACCACTGGTAGTTCTGCCCCTGTGCAGTGCTGAACCTGAGTTGAGTTTCCGCTTTTTGTGTCTCCAACATATCATGGGGAAGGTAGCCCTCCTATGTGTGTATGCAGCAGTTGTAGGGGAAGGTAGTCTTTCTATGTGTCCTCCTCTGCAGCAGCCTGCAGTGGGGTTCTGCAAGCAGGGACAGGCAGGTCAGACTGAGGACATTTCCAGATGCTAAACAAAGGCTAACTATGGCAGAACTACCAGGGTTGCAGCGGTCGTATGTGCGACTGGGCCCTGTCGAGTATCAACCATCGCGGGCGGGAGCTTGGAAGCATTGGCCTTCTGCATGTTGGGAGCTGTAGTCCCAGGAGGATATGTCGGTGCCCCAGAGGTTGCCAGGCCCAGAAAGAAACATGAGGGACTGGGCCCAGTAACTGCCAAGGCCCCGACATTGCATCCTGGGACTACAGCTGCCAGCATGCAACGGGCCAATGCTCCGTAGCTCCCTCCCATGGTGGTTGATACATATATATATATACAGGTATATATATATATATATCTATATGTATATAGATATATATATATATACACGTGTGTGTTTGTACTTGTGTGTGTACACCGTAATGTAATAGGCTGCATACGCCTATGATGGCTATATTATGCTTTCTATATGTGCTTGCTTGATGAAGGGCACTAATCCCAAATGGTCTGTGATTCTATTTTTGGATGTATTTGGTACTTTATAAAGCATATAGTTGCAATATTGTTTGTCCTATGATCAATTGTCTAATTGATGCAGTTATTGTGACTAAAGAAAGCTGAAGGACACATATAGATACATATTAAAACATGACATCTCTTGAATGTATGCCCAATAAGAAGCTACATGCACAAACATGAATTGAGTGACATTAATTCAAAATGTGTTTTGCTAGGGAGCTAGCTTTCTAAAAAGTTGTACCCTGATTTAAAGGCAGCATACCATTAAGGTCAAGGTTGGCTTTATACTTTCTGTCAAATTAAACCAACAGTTTTGTGCTACCCTTCTAGTTCCTTAGTTGATTGGCTAGCCTTAGTATCATACTAGCAAGATCATACATCACAAGGCACACCCAGGCTGGGGGTGGAGAGGCTGAAAGAGACAGTTTGCCCACCCTGTGTCAGTACATTTAAAACTAACAACTTGGAAGAGTCGAAAAGACATTCCCACTACTCTGCTAGTCTGCTAGCAGTTCGGATAATGGTGCATGGACCCAAGGTGGAGAAATACAAGCACTTAATCTATTAGGGTATCATTACTGTAACACATTTTATACTAAATATCAGATCTAAAATTATGCATGGATTGAATAATAAATATCAGCTAGAAAATGCTTATACTTTTCTAATGTGTACAGAATGCAAATTGCCATTCAAAGCTAGTCAGAGGTCTCAAACAAGGTCCTTGCCAATAAATGATATGCTAACATTAAAATGTTTTAAAATTCAAATTTATTCACATTTTAATTTCGGCAGATATACCTACCAAGGTGAAGGAAGCTTCATAATCACATGATCACATGTAAGATGGTTCCAGTAGAGCTGTTTTAGGGATAGGTATATTTTTGGGAATTCCAGTGCAGATTAATGGAATAACAGTTGGTGTTGAAATGTATTTTTCTCGCTGTCTTGCTTGATTTGAAATGAAAGTTGTTTTTACTAATCAGTTACCAAAGTGTATATCAAAGAGCAAACTAAACTGTAAACGCATTCATTACAGTAAATATTCTCTTCTATGCCTCCTAGCTTATTAAACTGGTCAGTCATTTCCTCAGACAAGTGACAATGTCTCTATAGCAACCCAGAGAATGTTGTGGAGTTAGACTGAAAGAATGAGCTAGAGGCTCATTAATTCTGATTGCTTATGCTCTCACGGAAGAGAGAAAAATATAACTAAAGAAGCATATAAATGTCAGGCAGCCTTAAACCAAAACCAAAGAGAGCGCTATAAGGTTGCTTTCACAATAAAGGTAACTCAAATATATTATTAATAAATATATGTACAACAAAACATCAAATGCTGCCAGTTTTCACAACAAACATTAATAAAGGCAATAAAATGTATAATTAATGCCCCCTAAAAAAAAAAGAAATTACCATTTGTGCTTATCAGCTTCCCTACAAAGGAACCATCCCTTTAGTGGTCAGACCCAGGTATGCCTCATGTTTACTTACAAATGACATAGCTACAGTATAGTGCAAGGTGCAAATGGCAGTAAATAAATATTGTATGCTAATTTATGTAATGTTCAATAAGTATTTTTCATTTACAAATGCTCAAAAATAATATTTAAAAATCATTTCAGTTGGCTATTAATCTAGCTGATTTAACACAAGAAAAGTAAAATAATAGAATGTGATGACGTTTCATAGTCCCAAACTTCCACTCCCGGTTTTCCAAGCTGTGTACCCATCTCTTGGCACTTTCTGTATTTCTTTCCCCTTTTCCCTTTTTCATTTTGGATTGAGTAGGGGATAGTTGAAGCTGAAGTGTAGTGTGCGCATATCATGCCTTCCCTTGTTTTGCCCTCTCTGGATCAACAATACCTGTCTTGATACCCAGTAAGGACATCTCTGATGATGTCTGCTGCTCTTTGCTCTGAGTTTGTTGGAATGGGCTGGCAGGCTCCAGTAATGTGACAGCATTCTGCCTCGGATCTTTTTCAGAAGAATTATATGAAAGAACACATCCCGGGTTCCCTTTAGATATGCCTGCTTCTCCCTGCTGGCTACCAGGTGCTGCACACTTTAGCTGTGAACTCTGCTCATTGGTTAACTGTTTGTCCAAAGGGATACCGGGGATGTGCTCTTTCACATAAATACTGGGAACAAAATCATTATTAGTGTACAGAAACTGATAGCACCAACGTACAACTTTACAAAATATAGTTAGACAGTACAGTTACAATACAACTGAGGGCAAGAGGGTTAGGAGGACCCTGCTCGTGAGAGCTTACAATGGAAGGGCAAATTAAATAAAAGGTAGTAACTGTGTGGGTGAGTTGTTCAAGAAAGTAACATTCAGTTGTCAGGTAGAGGTCGGATCATTGGCGTGTGCAGCCTATTAAATTAGGTTGTGCACACAAAAGCACAACACACACACACTCCTACTTCCCAGGCACTGAGGACTGCGTCTGTTATGTGAGCAATGTACGTAGCAAGTGCTGCTCCACTCTGTGTCACTGAGTCGGTCACAGAGAGATAATTTTTTGATCTCTCCACAAGCTCAGTGACTAAAAACATGGCGCCTGCTATTGTAGTTTCAGTGGTGATTAGGGTGTGCGCAGGCACACCTGGCAAATCCTGTGCGCCTGCCTATGGGAGGGATTAGCTTAAGAAAAAGAGTTTTCAGGGATTGCCTACAGGCAGACAGAGTGAGAGATAGTCATACAGGTTGTGGTAGGGAGTTCCAAAGGTTGGGGAGATTTTGAAGAAGTCCTGGAAGTGAGCATTGGGGGAGGTGACAAGGGAGCTAGAGAGCAGGAGGTCTTGGGAAGAGCGAAGAGGACAGTTTGGGTGATATTTTTAGACAAAGTTGGTGATGTAGCTGGGGGTAGAGTTGTGGATAGCTTTGTGGATGTGGACATTGTTGTTAGTATTTTGTATTTTATTCATAATGGGATCAGAACCCAGTGAAGGGATTGGCAGAGGGTGGTGGCAGACACTTATTGCTTGATAAGATGGATGAGTCTGGCAGCAGCATTTATGAAAGCCGAAGGGGGGATAGCCTTTGCAGAGGTAGGGCAATAATAACAATTAACACAGATAGGTGAATACCATAGACAAATTATTCTTCCCTGTCACTGTGTTTGTTTTATAAATTACTTCTCTGCTTATCAGACAGGTAACTCCCCATGGGTTATGGTATAATCTGTGTTCTCCAAAGACCTTTGGTTATGGAGGCTTTTAAGAAAATCACCAAAGTCGTATCACACACAAATGCATTATCATTTACTCTCTACTGGTAATGTGATGCCCCATCTCCCACTCAAAAAAATCAGATTCCATATTTATCCACAGCATTTCCTGAAACCGACTCAGATTCACAGATTCAGAATCATTTTGTAGACCAAAAGTGTAAATCTGTGGATACAACTTACATGATATTTTGTATTTGCAGCTTGGCTTGCAACAATTTCATAGTGTTGGAGTCCTTGGCTTCAATGCTCCAGAATGGTTTATTTCTGCAGTAGGAACAGTGTTTGCTGGGTAAGTATAAGTTGGACCGGCGGAACTACTTACATAATGTGCATTGAGTCTGTACAATATTTCCAGCTATTGTCTCTAAAATAATATACTCTCATTTTTATTTCACGATAAATCTACCTGTCCCTCCCTTTCAAACTGTGGCTTACTGAAGTTGCATACATAGTGTGTTTTAAATCTGTACAATATTTTTGGATGTTGCATCTGAAATGCTACAGCCCCCATTTCAAACATTTTGGGATGCTTTGTAAAATCTACATAAAAACAGAATGCAATGATCTGCAAATCTCATAAACCCATATTTTATTTACAATAGGAAAGAGAAAACATATCAAATGTGTACACTTGAGACAATATACAATTTTTAGGGGGAAAAAAAGGTAATTTTGAAATTGATAACATCAAAACTTCTCAAAAACGTTGGGACAGGGCCATGTTTACCACGGTATAGCATCCCCTCTTTTAACAACACTCTGTAAATGTCTGGAAGCTGAGGAGACCAGTTGCTGGAGTTTTAAGAGAGGAATGCTGGCCCATTCTTGCTTGATATAGGATTCTAACTGCTCAACAGTCCTGGGTCTCCTTTGTTGTATATTTTATTTCAAGATACGCCAAATACTTTCAATTGATAAAAGGTTTGCACTGCAGGCAGGTCAGTTAAGCACCTGGACTCTTCTACTATGAAAAGATGCAACTTTAGTAAGCCACAGTTTGAGAGGGAGGGACAGGCAGATTTATCGTGAAAAAAAGAGGAGAGGGTCCTTCTCGCTTGTCATCAGCGCTCACTTCAAAAGCCTGCATCTCTGATGGTATCGGGGTGCATTAGTACGTATGAAATGGGTTGTTTGCACATCTGGTAAGGCACCATCAATGCTGAAAGATATATCCAGGTTTTAGAGCATCATATGCTCCCATCCAGACAACATCTTTTTCAGGGAAGGCCTTTTATATTTTAGCAGGACAATGCTAACCCGCATACTGCATTTTTGACAACGGCATGGCCTTATAGTAGTAGATTCCGGGTGCTTAACTGGTCTGCCTGCAGTCCAGACCTATCATCAACTGAAAATATTTGGCACATCTTAAAACTAAAAATATGACAAAGAAGACCCAGGACTGTTGAGCAGTTAGAATCCTATATCAGGCAAGAATGAACCAACATTCCTCTCTTAAAACTCCAGCAACTGGTCTCCTCAGTTCCCAGACATTTACAGAGTGTTTTTAAAAGAAGAGTAGATGCTACACGGTGGTAAACATGGACCTGTCCCAAGTGTTGCTGCCATCAATTTCAACATTACCTTATTTTTTTCTTAAAATATTTACATTTTCTCAGTTTACACATTTGATATGTTTTCTATTTTCTATTGTGAATAAAATATGGGTTTATGATATTTGCAAATCATTGCATTCTGTTTTTATTAAGATTTTACACAGTGTTCCAACCTTTTCGGAATTGGGGTTGTATACTGTATTTTCTATTTCACAATAAAACCTGCCTAGTCTCTCCCTCTTAAATTGCGGCCTAATAAAACTGCTTACATACTGCACATTGAGTCTATAGTCGCTAACATACTACACTATAATTTATATTTCAAGATAAAACCTACCTGGTCTTTCACTCATAAATTGCTGCTAAGGCTGCTTATATAGTGTGTATGACGTTTGTATAATATTTCCAGATATTGACTCTAATTTTTTTTCACAATAAAAGCTTTCTTTGCTTCTTAAACTGCAGACTAGTAAAATGGCCAACATACAGTAGTGTGCATCGAATCAGTCCAATATCTCCTGTTGTTTTCTCTGAAACACTACACTCTAATTTTTATTTAATGATAAAAACCTGCCAGGTCTCTCTCTTAAATTGTGGTCTAGTAAAACTGCTTACATACTGTTCTGCCAAGTCTCTGCCTATTAAACTGCAGACTAGTACAACTGCCTACATAGTGTGCATTGAGCCTTTGCAATATTTCTGGCTGTTGTCTCTGAAATAATATACTTTAATTCTTATTTCACAATAAAACCTGCCTGGTCTCTTTCTCTTACATACTCTGCAATGACTGTAGAATTTCTGTAATTATTCCTGTTACATAATATCTAATCTAATTTTTACTTATGATAAAAACCTGGCTCATCTTTTCCTTTTAAGCTGCAGCCTAATAAAACTGCTTACTATGCATCAAATGTACAATATTTCTGGCTATTTTCTGTATTTTTTTTCTTCAATTCAATACTGGATTTATTTAGAGGCTTCAGTAAGAAAAATGTCTTCATTAATCTGTTTTACAACTCTGTTGTATGTGTTAATTATCATTTCCTGTTCTCTTTCATTGGGTTAATTGAGTGTGTCTTCCAACTCCTATAAAAGTGTCTGTCTTTTGCATGCTATTAATACCCTCCCTCACATTGTCAGAAGAGCCCAGGGATGCAGTTGAGGACAAATCAAAAATGTATTTTACAATGGAGAACCATGTGTGGATAATGCCAAGAGATTTCCTTGTGGCAATTATCACTTCTGCAAGACCAGTGTTTGATCTGACAAGCTTGTCTTGCAACAAACCCATTGTTTAAATGTTTTGTTCATCTTTAACAAGCATATTGAGCCAATGCATTCATGGAATGCTGTCTGTCTTGTTTTCTGGACTATATGGAGAGTTAATGCTGCACAGATGAAAGCAGAGAAATTGGAAAAACTAGAAAAAGAGCAGCAGAGGACATTTTTTGTTTGCGTCTCTTGATTTTCTGATTTCTCTGTGTATTTGATTTTTAGTACTGGTAATTTTATTCTTATCATTGAGCATATCTTTTGGTTATGTTATATATTATCTGTCAGTAGTCATACATGGTTTATCAATAGCAGCTATTCCCTTGTACTGCATGCTAGTTTTAGTGAAAGCATTAAATAGATCTATGTTTGTTGCCCGTGAACTAGCGTGTGGTATTTGAGCGAAGAAAAGGCTGCTTCCCTGAGAGCCAAATCATGACATATTCTAATTGATGGATTTAATAATTGCGCACACGTATTGAAGTACATTCAAAGGCTCCAGACTTGTCTGAACAGGTCCCATTTTCAAATATGTGATGTACAAGTTTCACAAAGAAAGCAAAAAACTTCCCTTACCCTCCCTTACTGAGCCAAATCCTCCTTCATTTGTGTCTCACATGCTCCTACTTCCAGACACTACAGCTCACAGTGGGAGGGTTTCATCAACAAAGGCAGTGCTGCCAATCCAGTAAGCAGTGGGTAGGACTAGATGTGGCCAGGTGCTGATTGACAAGTTGCGAACTTGTGAATCAGTAATGACAATGCTGATAGCCATGTCCCCTGCAACATCTTCTCATCCAACTGTTGTGAAAGCAGACACAGCCTACATGATAATGCCAACTCTGCTCTGAATTCAGGAGTAGTGCAGCATTGTTCCCACACCTTCAAGGGAAGCTATATTAGGTAAACTCTGGCAGGCTCAACAGGCATTTGTTGTACATTGCAGGGGGACTAAGAGAAAACTGTAAATGCAGATGCACTTATGATTAAACATATTTTAGTAGAAGGCCATTGTTCTACTAGAGACACTCTCATTAACCACTTCAGGACTAAGAACATGAGAAATACATCCATTCCATAAATTTATAGGATGCATCTCTAACATCCAGCTCCTCTTTCCCTGCCGCCACTGCCTCCCACCACTATTACCTGCAATTACTAGCTGTCAAAATGATTGTAGTGACAAAAAATATATCAGTGACAAAAACTGTCAGATTTAAATCTTATGTCTGTGGTGGGCAGTGACACATTTAAAAAGACACTGACCTTTTTGAAGAACCATCTTGAGACATACACCTATCTTACAAGATTCAGAAGGTTAATAAGGTACATTAGACTTGCTAGGAGAAAGATGCATTTGATTTATATCATATTTGGTCTCTAACAAATCATCGTTTTATTCTCTGCAATAATATGTTGGTGGTTGATTGTGAAACCTTGTGAGATGGAAATATTGATGCATTTTGAATAGTTGGCAGCAAAGGTGTGTCCGCTAGTGCATAATAAAATACTCTCCAGCCGCCTTTAGCATGTCCCTCAGACACTTTCATTGGATGTATTAAAGTGACACTAAACTCAGCAGTTAAATCTTAAAAATGCAGTCAAGTATACCTTAACTATTAACAAAAATGTATCTTATTTGTGTATCTCTGGGCTGTAGATCCTGAAAACATCTCTGAATTCATGCTGACACTGTCCTTCCTTCTGGATGGAGGCTACTTTTGTTCCCCATGGTCCCTGTGTGAATTGTAAAGTAGCCACCGCTCCAAGCTCACTCCCATGATGCACTACATATTTTTTATGTGTAACTTTAAAAAAAAATTTGGGAAACTTTAATTTTGTTTCCTATTTTTTTTTCCACTTAACTTTATTGTTATCACATAGAGGGCTAAGAACCCCCCTTATGTGATAGCAAAATATGTGACAGGTCCTCTTTATGGAGACATCAGGGGTCTCGCTTGTATGTTAACAGGCATCGCTGCCTGTTTTAAAATGTTCTGTCTTTCCTGCTCGCGAGCGCCGCACGCTGCGCACGAATGGGCGGGGCTAAAAGGCCGTACATACATGGCCTGTTACATCCAGGAAGCTCCCGGCCGGCCGCTTTTTTACAACGGTCGGCCGTGAAGCGGTTAAAGAACATGGTAGAGGTTACCACCTGTGTGAGTAAAGTGTTAATTGTGCAGAGTTAACCTGTGCCAGTGACAATCACTCTCAGTCCGCTGATGATCAGACTGCTGTTCCAGAGTAGTAAAATCTCTGCACTGGGTGGGAACTTTTCATTCTTTTTTCTATATATTAATATTCACACTTTGCTAATGTATTCAATGTATTTTTCCTGTCAGCTCCATGGCAGCACACGAATGGGTTAATCCCTCCCTCCTCCCCTAATCAGGATCGTAACTCATAAAAGCTGAAAGAGTCCCCTGGCTTGCCGTTCCTTTTTTTTCCTCCTATAGTCAGGATCCGAGCATGGTGCCTACCTAGCAGGGATAAAGTTCTTGCTGTGTGCCTTCTTCTTCTACCTCCTTTAGTTGGCGAAGTCCCTGTGAGCCCTTTCCTAAATAGTGCAGGTCCATGGGGCCAGTAGGCTCATAGCATCCTTGATAGGGAAGGCGATGTTGTTAGCGTATGAAACCGAGCACATGACTGTCCCAAGTGGGGTGTCTGCTCATTTCCCCTAGGAGTCTGGCCACATCATGGGCTGCACCCAATCGTGTTTCCTTGGAGTCTGTGTCTAAAGCGGCCACATGGTCTTCTCCGCACACGTTCATGACACACTACTGTGTAGATCCAGCTGCCTTGACTAAAGTTGAATTCGGCCGTAGGGTTATTTCTTCTACCATGAGTTGTGATTTTCAAGCATACCCACCCCTGTTTTTGGCTAGTTAATTCCCATTCGTGTGCTGCCATGGAGCTGACAGAAAAACAGGAAAATTGTGTTTCATACTTACCGTAATTTTCCTTTCCTGTCCAGCTCCATGGCAGCACAAGGCCCACCCATATAGTAGTCGAGTTACGGAACGGCAAGCCAGGGGACTCTTTCAGCTTTTATGAGTTACGATCTTGATTAGGGGAGGAGGGAGGGATTAACCCATTCGTGTGCTGCCATGGAGCTGGACAGGTAAGGAAAATTACGGTAAGTATGAAATACAATTTTCCTGTTATTTGTGTGGATTTATTTATTTTAATGTATATGTTTTTCAGTAAAATGTATGAATGTAATATACTTTTAAGTGGTGTCACTTGTTATAATGTGTATGATTGTTATTAGTACTTTGAGATAACAGTGCTGCTACACTTTGGTTTTTAAAGTGATATTAAAGTCAAAGGGTTGTAAAGCTAATTCAAATGCTGATTAAATCACTTACAATGGATGCTGCTTCTTGATGGTTAAAAGTTTCAGCTTCCTGCAGAATCAGCTGGTCCTTTGAGCACTGGTCCTGCTTGCAGGGACCTATGGAGCCACCCTTGTGTGTGCTAGGAAGCTGTGTGTGTCTCCACAAAAACACAGACACAGCAGGGCAAGCTATTCTCTTCTTCCCTGCTTCCCTGCTCTCCTTCCTCCCTTCTCCAGTCTAGTAGATGGACAGCTGCTGTAGACTGCTCTGTCCCTTGCGATATTGTACTGGACAGGAAGTTCACGGAAGCTGAGCTGAGAGAGTTGTAGGTGTTTGGAAACATGATGACTGTAAGTACTTGGAAAAAAAGTGTATATAAATCCTTTGCTGGGCAATGTACATTTGTTTGATCTGGATTCACTACTGGAAAAAAAGTTTGAGAGTTTAATACTACTTTAGAGGATGCTGTTTATTTCCTCTTTGGAGACGCTAACACTTGCAGCCTAGAGCACTAAATGACACCATTAGCACTTTTTTTTTTTTACTTTCGTGTGTGGCCATTTCTTAAAACCTGGATGTAATTCCAGCTTTGGTGCTGAAAAAGGCAAGTACAATGCTTGCTGAGGGCAGTCACAACACTCTGTAGCTCAAACAGAAAGTAGCCATATTGGAGGAAGCTAGTTTGTGTCCTCCGTTACCCTAAGGAGAACTATGGGGAAAAACACTGACCCCATAGTTCTCCTTTAACAGTCAATTTAATTATTTCAAACTACAATTGGAAAATTTAGAGACAGTTTTTAATATTTGCTGCAGTTTCACTGGCTTGCTGGGTCTTATAATCATATTTAGGTTTGCTAGTTTAGCCTGATTCTAGAAGCAGTATAATGAATACAGGAAAATTAATGATAAATCCGCTGTCCTGGAGAGAAGACTGTTTAGAATGAAAGTCTTTATCAGAATTATGTCTGTAGGTTTGCAATGAGATAGGAGGAGAAGTAAACCACTATGGATTGGCAGATAGCACAGGAAGCAATAGCTTCTTTGCTATCTGCAGATTATTATTTTTTTTTTTAGTATTCTGCCAGTTGCAGTCGTCAGAATAAAAAAAAAAGGCATAAGAATGCATAGCTAGATTCCTATTGGCTATTTCACTTTGCAATAGCCTATAGCAAACTAGCTATTGCACCCGCCCCCTGCTGCTTTCAATCACCAGAAGAGGACCTGACCTGATAGCAGCAGTGATACTTTTTAGTTTTTCTCTAGTCTAGTCTTGGAGCTGGAAAAGTATCAGTACCTGTACCAAGTACAGAACCTTGGTATCTGAGCATCCCTATCATACACCATGGCAAGACTGAGCACAGCAACCAGACGCAAGTTAGTTATACTGCATCAGCAAGGTCTCTTCCAGGCAAAGATTTAAAAGCCGACTGGGGTTTCAAGATGTGCTGTTCAAGCTCTTTTGAAGAAGCACAAAGAAACGGGCAACATTGAGGACCATAGACGCAGTGGTCGGCCAAGGAAACTTAATGCAGCAGACGAAAGACACTATGTTTACTTCTTTTCGACATTGGAAGATGTCTAGCAGTGCCATCAGCACTGAACCGGTGGAAACCGGTGGGACCCAGGTACACCCATCTACTGTCCGAAGAAGTCTGGCCAGAAGTAGTCTTCATGAAAGAATTGCAGCCAAAAAGCCATACCTCCAATGTGGATACAAGGCTAAGTGACTCAACTATGCACGATAACATAGGAACCTGGGGTGCAGAAAAATTACAAGAGGTGCTCTGGACTGATGAGACAACATTTTAAATTTTTGGCTGTAGTAGGAGGCAGCATTTTTGCCGAAGTGCTGGAGAGCAGTAAAATAATCAGTGTCTGCAGGCAACAGTGAAGCATGGTGGAGGTTCCTTGTAAGTCTAGGGGGTTCATTTCTGCCAATGGAGTTGGAGATTTGGTCAGGATCAATGGTGTTCTCAATGCTGAGAAATACAAGCAGAAACTTATCCATCATGCCATACCATCAGTGAGGCGTGTAATTGGCCACAAATTTATTCTGCAGCAGGACAAAGACCCCAAACATACAGCCAATGTAATTAAGAACGATCTTCAGCGTAAAGAACAACAAGGAGTCCTGGAAGTGATGGTTTGACCCCCACAGAGCCCTGATCTCAACATCATCGAGTCTGTCTAGGTTTACATGAAGAGACAGAAATATTTGAGGCAGCCTACATCCACAGAAGATCTCGGTTAGTTCTCCAAGATGTTTGGAACAACCTACCTGCTGAGTTCCTTCAAACACCGTGTGCAAGTGTACCTAGAAAAACTGATAGTGTTTTGAAGGCAAAGGGTGGTCACACCAAATATTGATTTGATTTTGATTTCTTTTCTGTTCATTTACTTTCCATTTTGTTAATTGATAAAAGCATTCTTACTTTGCAGCATTTTTTTAACACCTGCCTAAAACGTTTACCCAGTACTGTAGATCCACTTTAAGCCAAAATAAAATAGTAAACAGAAAGTTATATAGAATATATTTTTAGACTTGATTCCATTCTTACTATTTTTCCTCTCTTTCGTGTTCTATGTTTGACTCTATTCCTATAACATAGCCTTTTATAACTCACATTCATATGTGTTGTTTTATTGAAAATAAATTAATTTACTGAATATTATTTTATATTAGACTATAAGGCCAACCAGTGCTGCAGAGTGAGCTGATTCTTCCATAAAAATTTAATTTTTTGCATAAAACTTTAGGGGAATTACGACCGGAATTTATACGACCAATTCACCTGAGTCATGCCACTATGTTGCAAGTGATTGCAGAGCAAATGTTATTGTGGTTGAAAATCAAAAACAGCTGGAAAAAATCCTGCAGGTAAAAATCTATTTAAATCCTCTTCTTGTATAGCAGATGCCAGTTTAATTTCTGTTAAATAATCCAATTCTATCTATCGTTTGTACATCTTGTGCCATTGTTACAGGTGAAACTCGAATAATTAGAATATCGTGCAAAAGTAATTGCAGTAAGTGCTGCAAAAGGGGCCCAAACCAAGTACTGAGTACATATGCATGCTTGTACTTTTCAGAGGTCAGATATTGTTCTATGTACAATCCTTGTTTTATTGATTGCATGTAATAATCTACTTTTTTGAGGTTGTGGATTTGGGGTTCTTGGGGTTTTCATGAGCTGTAAGCCATAATCATCACAATTATGACAAATCACGGCTTGAATTATCTTGCTTTGCATGTAATGAGTCTATCTCATATATTAGTTTCACCTTTTAAGTTGCATTAGTGAAATAAATGAACTTTGCACGATATTCTAATTATTCAAGTTTCACCTGTAGCTAGGTTGAACCAATATACATGTGCATACAACATATAAATTCACCACGAACCATACCCATAAATCTTTCTCTTCAACTCTGGAATTTTAGGATATCTTCAGAATACACACATGCATACCTATGCTCTGAACATAAAGCTCTTTTCCACCTTTGCAGAGGTATTTAAAAAAACACATGCCAGCAATGTATCCTGAGTGAACATGAAGCATGCATAAGCAGTTGCTGTATATGAACACAGAAACGTACGTTTTTAGTTAACTTTCCTCTTTATAAGATTATGGAAATGGCAGCTTTTTGTTTTCGAGCTTTCCACTGCCCCATTCATTGGTATTTATATTGGCAACCCCCATCCCCTGGATAGTGTATTGTGTGCAAAGGCAGAGCTGGTGTTTAATTATCGTGCAACACAGAATCACAGGGAGAAGGGCAGCTGTTTACACCCTGCTTTACAATCTGACCCCGGTGTCTGACTCAGTTTCCTATGGAGAAAATGTTGAATTTGTAGGATTCAGGCCTAATAAACAAAGTTTATTTTAATAAAATGAAGAAAGCCAGTTGTGTGACTCATGAAAATGTGCACCCATATACATCATCCCTGCACCTCTACATTACCACAATAAATGCTAATCACTTACAAAGGTGGAAATGGACTTTAACCTTCCTAACTTGTCACTACTTCATGCTTGCACTTCCAGTATTTTCATGTGCCCTCCTCTGAACCTTTTTTTCTTTTGCATCCAGCCAGGCATTCTCCATTCCTCCAATCCATCTTTTAGGAATAGCATAAATTCTGTATATATAACATCTCTCTTCAACCACTTGATGTTTCCTGTTTTTTTCCATTACTACATTGTTATCTGCACACAACTACTGCTCCAAATTCCCTCTACTTACTGTATCTGTCCCTTCTCTACAGATGAGCTTCGGGTTCAGGTTGAAAATTAGTTTGACCTGATCCCAGCCTGTTCACAGTTCAGCAAATGGTTCAACAAACTGGCCATATTTGGCTAGTTCCCCCGGCTGCCCATCTGACCCTCCAGCAAATGTAGATGGAAATCTGTCATTCAGCGATGGTATCACTACCGCCTCTAAATGTCAAATCCTGCTTGGCTTTGAAATTGGAAATAAGGCACCATGAGTGTTGCTGTCCTACCATTTTTTTTCTTAGCCACTAGTTAGGTGTCACTCAGCATAACTGACATGGATCTTCAATGCTGGATGATGTGATTAACCTGGAAATTATATAGGAAGATATTATATGATTACACATTCTTTTTAGTGGACAGGATATGGGGAATGAGGTTTGGCGATGGTGCATGCTTGCTTCCCCCTTTCCTGGCCACCCGAGCTGCATGCCTGGGTAGTGTTTTTTATGAATTTTTAGTGGGATCCCACACCTTATTTGGATACAAATCCAACGTCATCCACGCGATCTAGTGATGTAGATTAATGTCAATTACGATGAGTAATGTCTGATGATGTTGACTTAGTGCCTCAGCGACCTGCTCCGCCCGTTGCTCTTCTCTTGCTGATACTCCCCTCAAAAATGATATATCAATGACATCACTCAGAATCCCCAGCATTTTATTTACATTCCAGCTGCACTGGCTGGGGACATGTCTTTTGCAACAGGAGTAGTGGTAGGGCAGAATCACAATGGCAGCAGGTCTATTGCTCATCATGATTGACGTAGATCTATATTGGCGGATGGTGTGAGGGACCTAAGTCGCATCCCCCACAGACCCACACATCCCTTTGTGGGACATGATGTGGGGATTAGCCCCTCGTTCCCATCAAAAAAAAAATGTAAATAGTAAATAAAAACACCCACACCATAAAAAGTGCTTTATTAAAACATTAAAAAATAACAAGTGTCCCTCGATGTAAATCCACTGTCATTAACATCATCCGGCAATGTAGATCCATACCATATCATTCATGATGAGCGATGCTTGGTGATGTTTACCAGCTGCCAAGACAATGCTGCCTTGCTGCTACACACGTTGCAAATGACAGCACCCCGACACTTCTGGAATGAAAACAAAGTCAGGGCACTTGGATGACATAATTGACCAATATGGTTATGACCATATTCAGTGATGTCACCTAGAATCCCCGGCCCAGTTGCTTGCAAACAAGCCAATGTGAATCTGGAATTTAGAGGTGGTAGTGCTATGAAAGGATGAGTCACTTCAGTGAGGTAGGAACAGGGGCAGCTGAATTATGGAGAGAGCTAACTTGAACAACTTTAAGGCTTCTGCTTTGAACCTTGGGAGATGAAATATTCCACAGAGCCTGCAGTTTCAGAGGTCAGTAAAGGCTTGTTTTAAAGTTCATTTACTGCTTGTTAAGACTAGGAAAATTATTGAATGTCTATTGCCTGGCCATTAAGCCTGCTCTCTGCATTTGTATGGCAAAGCTATGGATTTAGTTAACTGCCGCCCTCCCTAGCTGCACATATTCACATTTAATTTTCTCTCCCCATGCTCTGTTCAGCCACTGGGAGTAAAGAGAAATACCTGTTACATTTGGGTATGAGGACTGCTTTTCCTCTGATGTGGCAGTGCTGGTACTTAGTGAGTGGCACCCACCATTGCCACATAGGGGTGGAAAGAGAGCCCTTAGCCCAGTGTAAGCTCCATATAATTACTTAGAACTTATATATTGTTCACTCTCTTCTCTCTCAACAGCTGAGCAGAGAACGGGGGAAGCAAAAGGATTGAGTATGTGCAGCTGGCGAAATAGCCATTAAAGTGGACCTTCACACTCAAAAATCAAATTCTACCAATGCATCCCTCTATCTATGCTGATTAATGATAACATAGACATGTCAGGTGTAAAATGCTGTGATTTTGAAATACTTACACTTGCAGAGCATTCACTTCCTGCTTTGAAAGGGAAAAATGACTTCACTTTTTTCAAAGCAATGCACTCTGGGATTGCCTTGTCATCAGCAGAGCATTGCTGGAAAATCTCATCTGTAATCTCATGAGATTTCAGGACAAGGCATTTTCCTCCCCTGAGATGATGTGCATGGTCACATGTCCTAGTCACAAGGAAGTAAAAGGAGAGCTAGTAATCTGCCCTTAGTAAACATGGTCACCAGCACCATGTATCCGGGATAAAAGGAAAGGAGAAAATCTTCAATGGTAATGTGATACACTTTCGAGTAGGGATGCACTGATACCACTTTTTAAGACCGAGTACGAGTACCGATACTTTTGATCAAGTACTCGCAGATACCAATTACCGATACTTTTTCTTAAAGGGACAGGTCAAATATTTTCTAAAGCAATACAAACTAATGCTTTAAGGTCACTTTCTTAATATTATGATTCATGAGAGGACGAGGGAGCCTGACGCCGGCTTCCCGGCCAATCAGAATGCCGGGCGCTGCGTCATTACACGCTACCCAGCTTCCTGATTGGCCAGGAAGTCGGCTCCATGCTCTCTCATCCCAAGTGACGAGAGAGCATGGAGCCGTTTCCTGGCCAATCAGCAAACCGGGCAGCGTGTAATGATGCGCTGCCCGGCTTTCTGATACAGTTAGTACTCGTGCTAGGTATCGGAGCATTTGGGCGAGTACGAGTACTCACCCAAATACTCGGTATCGGCACCGATACCGATACTAGTATCGGTATCGGTGCATCCCTACTTTCGAGGCTGCTCTCACTTGGTTTAGGGAAACCTCAAAGCTGAAATACAAAACACAGAGAGTGCCTCCATCACGTAAAAACTTTTTAATAAAACAGGATAAAAACAGCTGAAATGGTACTCACAAAAGTAGAGTTTTAGCAGACATGAAAAATCGTATGTGATAGACTTAGCCAGCCGGCTATCAGTCCTTCCTGGTTGACGCGTTTCTGAGGTCACGCCTCCTTCATCAGAACCAATTGGTTCTGATGAAGGAGGCGTGACCTCAGAAATGCCAATTGGTTCTGATGAAGGAGGCGTGACCTCAGAAATACGATTTTTCATGTCTGCTAAAACTCTACTTTTGTGAGTACCATTTCAGCTGTTTTTATCCTGTTTTATTAAAAAGTTTTTACGCGATGGAGGCGCTCTCTGTGTTTTGTATTTCAAACATGGTCACTGTCAGAAGACTGGGGAAAGAAAGAGAAATAAGATATGCAAAGAATACAAAGCCGGCAATTATCTAGAAGTATGTGTTTTTGCAGATTGTCATTACTAAACATTTCTAAAGGTGCGTTTGTTTTTTTTTTTTTTAAAGATATGGGTAAAGGTCCACTTTAAGTGAACCTGCTGCTTTTCCCTGCATTGGCAAAGGTCAAGTTTATTTTAAGGTATAAAGACACAGGTCTACAAACATTAAAGCATGGTTTATCGTTTGAATGATCCTTTATAGTCCTGCTATTGCTTTATACTTGTATAGGAATAAAACATGATTGCAGCAACTCTGAACAACATGCAGCAGCAGCTCTGCATGGCATACACCTTCATCAGCAGCACTGACTGTGTTTTGAAAACTGAATCACTAATTGCTGCTATGGCTCAGCCATTTTCTAAACCGGTGCTTTATCTCAATAAACAGCTAAAAACAAGGGCATTGTGCTGACATTTAAAAAGTATTTCCAGGTCTACAAGCATATGTTATTATCACTAATTTGGTAACAATGATTCATTTGCTTACAGATATGGGATAAATTACCGGAGCTCAAAGCTGTTGTACAGTATAAAGGCATTTTGCAGGTTAAACACTCAGATCTATATACGGTATGTAATATTGTGTGAATATACTTTGTAGAGTTGCTTTCATGTTGATATGTGTACTACTAGAGTTTGATGTATTGATATAAATATATAGTGTCAAAAAGGTAATTAATATACTGTGTTAATGTATATACATATAACAATGGCCCCCAAACACTGGTTCTGGAGCCATAGGTGCCCTATGCCCTCTAACAATCTGCTGCAAGCACACTTCCCATAAGCATAAAGCCAGACAAGCTTATATTACATACTTATATTATTGTTAACGTAAGTATTTGACATATAAAGTCTTTTATATAAAGTCTTTTAGTGCCATATTTTTCATACATTATGTTACTCACCATGAGCCACTACTTCTTATACTGGCACCTGACCAAGTCTGCAAACCTTCGTGTAACATAGTCAGGGCTATTCACAAAAGGGTGAAGAGTTTGGAGAAGGCGGGAGAAGTGAACAATCTAAGCCAAAATAGCTGATTTTGAGAAATTCTCCAATTCAGCTCACTCCGGTTCAGCTCTGTTGTCCTAGATTGTTCACTTCTCCTGTCTTCTCCAAACTTTTCACCGTTTTGTGAATACCCCTGAGTGTCTCTTAGAATACTGTATAATGTTTCTGATGTTGTGTCATCATCAGTGGGATGAGTTCCTAGAACTGGGGAAGGATATCAGTGAGGAGCATCTGGATGACATCATAAATTCACAGAAGCCCAATCAATGCTGTGTCCTTATCTACACATCGGGAACCACTGGAAACCCAAAAGGAGTCATGCTGAGTCATGATAATGTAGGTGGAAAGGAAAACAAACTTTTCTAAAACATATGGTATTGGTCATCTAAGACATGCCTATGCAATAAACCGTCATATACAAGTTCAGGTATATTAATCTAAGTAAAATTATTTTATCCAAGATACTCAGAGCCAGGTAGACTTTTATGTAGGGAATGGTTTGGTACAAGCATGTCTCCAATTCCTTGTAGAGAAAGTTACATTTTAGATATTTTAGTCTTACTGATAATGAGATAAGTTTGGGGTTTGCACCAGATAATCATCCTTAGAATATCTGATCTAATGTTTGACTGGAATCCTTGCATGACATCAGTGTTTAAAAATATTTTCTACTAAAACTGATATTTTAGTTCTTGGATGGACACAGATGACTTAAATAACACACTATCTTCTTCTCTCATGGTAGCAGCAAACCCGAACCTAATGCCTACTGAGTACACACTTTTCGTAAGACAATGTTGTTTTCCCCAATTAGGTCATGCTTTGTCTTTCACATTAATGGCCTCCACTGGGCTGGATGAAGACTGAAATACATTTAATGATGTATTAATGAGCACAGAGCCATATTATTCAGTCTTTTATATCTGCTTTGGGTTCAGTTTTAAAGTGTTTATGTTTGTGGTAGAGTTCTAACTATAAATGTGTGCTTTAGTGGCATATGTGAAGTGTAATCTACTGAGTTTGGCTTCACTTTTTATTTCTTGGTTTTCTTTACATTCTTCTAGTCAACTTTAGATTTCGCTGTGTGGTTCGGTTTTACAAGTGTTATTCAAGGAAGTATCATCATAACAAGTTTATTTAATGTCTTTCATGTTGGCGCAGAGCCTTTATTTTATTCAACATAGTAAAAGATTTAGCAATACTATGACCCAATGATCTGTACTAATGCATTTTCCTCGGCATAGTGCCCATCTACTTACAGTAAATTACTTTTTCTCAGATCACCTGGACAGCTGCCCATGCAAGTCGTGCTGGAGATATGCAACCTGCAGAAGTTCAGCAAGAGTCTATAGTCAGCTACCTTCCTCTCAGTCACATTGCTGCACAGATTTATGACTTGTGGACTGGCATCAAGTGGGGAGAACATGTCTATTTTGCAAATCCAGATGCCCTCAAGGTAAGTGAGAAAAAATTAAGGTTCTCCTCATGCATAGACTCTGCACAGTGTACAGAGCGTGATGACATCAGGATCCTTAGACCACTGCAACAGAGGGGGAGAGACGCTTGAGACACCGTTCTAAGAACAAGCCGGCTCATTTGGTTTGGTGAGTATATATCGTAAATATATATTTCTTTTCACCAAGACCCAAGCAAGCACTTAACCCTTACAGTGCTGGGGTAGCCACACTGCAAGGCTTAATACATTTTTTCCTGGAGTTCTTCTTTAACAAAAGTTTAGCCATGTGACTGTATTTTCGAATCTTATTGGACTGCAAATAACACTTTTTCAAAATGGGTTTTCTTATCCTGGTGGAGAAGGGTGGATAAGTATAATTGCTCCAAGCTCCCTTAAAAACCTCACCTTTGGAAAACCAGGTGCCAGCCAACGAGAAGCTGACCACGCTCTATGAACTCAGTAGAAAAGCTGTAACCCTGCCTAGGACCGCCCCCTCTCACAGACATTTCACCCAATACAAGCCAATACAAGATCTCTGTGTGAGCTTAGTGAAATGAGCCTATAGTGTGTATGAAGAGATTCGAGATAAGGTTACTTTCCTTTATGAAATATGCCTTGTCATGTGTTTCTAAATTGCAGGGGACACTGGTGGATACACTAAGGGAGATACAGCCTACATCACACATGGGGGTCCCAAGAGTATGGGAGAAAATTATGGAGCATATTAAAGAGGTGACGGCGCAAACAAGTGCAATGAAGAGAAAAATGCTATCTTGGGCTATGTCAGTGAACCTGGAAAGGAACCTGAGTCCACCAAGAAAGTATGTAATACATTTCAGCCAAACTCTTTACATACAAACATGTGCTATTGTGAAATAAGAGTATTCCCAAAGGCAGACTCTGTGACTTTAAAAAAATATAGAGAGAAGGTGTGTTTACACAGTTTATGAAACTCCTAGGTGATGACTCATAAATTCTACATTTCTTTGGTGCGGTAACGGTTACCATAAACCAGTCCGTAAGTGCACTCTGCTTCCTTGAACTGGCAATGAAGCTGTAAATACTACAGTGAAGGGTAAGAAGAAGACTTAACAGGGCCACAAACACCATAAGAAATATCTATAAAGTTATCATAAATTTTTAAATTGTGTGGTATATTATCTATGCTGTATATGTAATGTAAATAAATATAAATGTTAGTAGTGTTTGAAGATAGGACACTACAGACATGAAACTATACTATTAAATAAACACGGTTTTTGGAGTCAAGGTTTGCCAGCACACCAGGGATGCCCCTAGCATGTTTTACGCCCAGATATACAGTATAATTTGTTAACAACTCCCTCCTTTATGCGACAAAATAATTTTTAGTAATAATCATGAAATTAAACTAATATTATTAATGGGCAGAAAAAAGCAAACAGTGCAGTGGTCAGGAGTATTTAATATACATCTTCATAGCTTAAAAATGACATGATTCATAATTAAGTACATCACAGATTGCAGAGTGCAGTAGTCAGGAGTATGTAGTGTACGGCACAGCGCAGAGTACAGTAGTCAGGTCAGGGCCGGTGCATGGATTTTTGCCTACACGGGCGAAAGTGCATTTTTCCTTACGGTGGCACTAGCCCTGCATAGACACCCCATAAAGCAGCACTTCGGAAAACAAAACTAATAGGAGATCTGAGATATCCATGTTAGGGTACGTTCACACCATATGCAGTACGCTCCGGCCCGATTCTGGCCAGAACGCACTACATCGCATTGCGGCCGGCTCCCTTTTTTGCATGGTACCGTAGTCACACCCTGCGGCCGCAATGCGATCACCCGCACAGGATCGCAAGGCACATTGTGCCTGCTGTCCGGTCTGATCAAAATGCTGCAAGCACTACTTTGATTGCACCGGGCCGGACCGTAGGCACAATGTGCCTTGCGATCCCGTGTAGACGATCGCATTGCGGCCGGAGGGTGTGGCAACGGTGCCATTCACTTCAATGGCCCGCCATGCCCCACTAAAAATTGAACCGGCCGCAATACGAGGCAGTGCGTTCTGGCCAGAATCGGGCCGGAATGCACTGCAACTGGTGTGAACGGGCCCTTACAGGTCAAACCAATTATCTCAGAAGCATTTAGAAAAAAGGAAGACCATCAGCTACTAGTGCCCTATATGAGAAACCACAAGCAATGACACCCCAAATAGTTAACTATGGAGCATCCCAATACAAAGACACCCCAAAGTGCACCACTCCAGGTTATTAACACCTCCTAGCGCCAATTATGCAAATTCAATAAACACTTTGTTGCGACTAGCAGGTTATGTGGATTGGAGCAACATTCACTATATTTATGCCCAGAGAATGTTTGTACAAGTCATTCTGAATTGAGAAAGCTGGTTGGATGACCAGTGAAATGTCTTCAATAAAAATACAGTAAGTCCAGTTGCCTTGACCCTTTTTTTTACAGATATACCATGACCTGGATGAATGAGAACCTTCACATACACTTATACATGTACATATACATACTTAAACATACCTTTTTCCTTCAGGCTGGTAACATGTCCTTTTTCTTTTTTTTCTTCCTTAGTAGCAATGGTGGGCGGTACATACATGTCATTACAGAGAGTGCCATGCTATCCCAAAGTACTGTGAGCCTATGGGGGGTGGGTGATTTGCATATCAATTAGCCACTATATTTCCATATGAATTAATTGTGGCTTTTTGATATGTAAATACTGCCATATGTAAATCTCACGGCAGGTGACAGTTTTGGGCACAGTGCAGGCTCCCAGCACTGCTTCTGTGTATGTGAGGTATTTAATGCTGAAGTGCAGGTATACTGGTGCAGCTCATTTAAACACGCAAAAAGGCTCACGAAAATATGCAACATGCTTCTGCCACGTGTTTTTGACCATTTCCATTGAAGTCTATGGGGCAAAAATGCGCTTTTAACTACCCAAAGAAGCTCATGTACCTTTTCGGCCATTTGGCTTTTCCTGCTGGCGTTTTTTTGCTCAGGTATGAACCAGGGTCTTGAAAATCATGGGATTTCTTCTGTGTGGCATTTGAAAGCGCAGTTGAAAAACTCCAAAGTGTGAACCAGGCCTTAAAAACAATTAAAACCGCCTCCATACCGTATCTGCAGGGCCCTCCAAATATAATTACATAACTACCGCATGTAAAGTCCTCATATACTGGTATAATAGATCCCCAAATAACAGAGATTTAGACACTGTGCACTTTATGATGTGACTTGCCGGAATGACACAGATGCTACCTATCTCCAATAGATGCTACCATAGATGCTTCCTATGATGTACACAAATAGAGTGTGCAATGTCTAAATCTCTTTTATTTGGTATATGAGGACATTCTGACAAGTCTATATAGGGGGTTAACGTTTATTCTGTCTGAGATTTAAGTAGTTACAGTCATCATACACAGTTATTAATATGTCATTATATTTGGAGGGCCCTGCAGATATGTAGTTATTTTAGTTGTTTTTAAAGGGGTTTTGTATCTGCTTATAATGTGAAATAAAGTCTGTATTTTATATACAGTATAATTATAATAGATGGAGACTGAGGCCAACATTTTTCCAGGTAACAGAGAGGTTTACATAGTGAAAAGCATATTCAGCAATGTATGTTTAGTTTTAGATGTAACTGTTCTAGGCATGGAGCTTCGCATGCAGTGTGTTAGCTGAGTGCAGCCAGATGAATGACTGCATCTTCAGCCATTCGGCTCGCACGTAACAACCGGATAGAGTTCGCATCATGATGCGGAGGTTTATACGCACGAGCCAATTAGCTGAAGATGAGAGTTTTCATCTTGGCATGCTCAGCTATGCGAGCTCTCACAAGCTGATGTGCCGGAGAGAAAATTACATGACACACTGCATGCGAAGGCAGAGCACCACTTCTCCACGCTGCTTCACATGCAGCGTGTCACAGCCTTAGCACTGCTCTGCAATATAATATTCAATGTTTGTGCCTCTAACCTAAGGAAATAAATTTAACAATAAATCTTTTTCCTATCTGAAAATGTACAAAAGTCTCCATAATAACGCTGTCGGGTCATTTGAATCAATTCCCTATCTTTGTTTTCTCTTAATTTTTCTTATTGACATCACTAGTACATGCCAACGTTTCTGGGCCATGCAGGGTCCCTAACTCCTTTGCGGAAGGGACCCTGCATGGCTGGGAAACGTTGGCTTTATGACCTATGTGATGCATTTGCAATAAAAGTTATGTTTGCATTTTGAAAAAAACGAGTCCTAGGGACTTATCTTCTAAAAAATGTTTTTTTGCAAAGGCATGTTCAGAGCAGATTCAAAATGAAAGGGCTGCCTTCATGCAACATGCCTCAAAGCATGAAAACATGTGCGTTAACTCAAACATACGTGTGAATAGGCCCCATGTACACAAGCCAGTAAATGTATTTTTTATAAGTATTTACCAAGAACATTGTAATCAGTTGGGTTGTCTTGTGTTCCTAGTGGTGAACTGAAGCTGTTCCTTCCATCTCTGGCTGATTACCTGGTCCTCTCCAAAATTCGCAAGATGCTGGGATTTTCGCACTGCCAGAAACACTTCTCAGGTGCAGCTCCTATCTCTAAGGAAACTCTGGAATTCTTCCTTGGCCTTAATATTACACTTTATGAAGCCTATGGTATGAGTGAGACATCAGGACCTCACTTCATGTCCAGCCCATATACTCATCGCTTCCAGTGGTAAGAATATCATTGTTCTTGGTAGTCTTCTACTAAATGTTATTCTGTCTTTTCCACATTATCGAAAGCTGAATTATAGTCCTGGTACCCTAAGGCCCCATTCACACTAAGCAACACTTACCTCGAGCGGATTTCCGCTCAGTGGGATAGCGCGACTGTTCGGGCAACGTTCCGGCGACGATCGCGCGACCTTCACCGTCAGGCTGCATGCAAAAATAGAAAAATCGCATGACATCCACGGGAAAAAGGGTCCTGCACAAGCGACGAGCGACAGGCAACATGGAGCTGTACTATAGAACAGCTCCATTGAAAATCATTGGACGGCGACTTCTCGCGATATCGCGCGGCAAATATGCGCGCTATCGCGATTAAACGTCCGGTGTGAATGGGCACTGAAGTTTGAAGACAAAACTTTTTTTTTAGTTTTGTATAGAGTGGGGAGGGATTAGAATCCCTGTCAGGTTTTTGATTGCTGTCTGTGTCCCCGTTAGAGAGATTCATCCACTCTATTTGTCCTGGTGACCATTAGTGCTGAAAGTGACAGAAAATCCCACATTTTGGGTTGTCATCACAACAGAAGTAGATGGGAAATCTTCCAATGGGGACATCAGTTCTGTGAACCTGCTGACCACCAGGAATTTTACTCACTTTGAGGGATTTCCTCTCACTTCCTGTTGTGGCTATCAGACAGGAAATTAAGGAAAATATCCTCAATGGGGTACAGATGGTGAAAAAGCTGACTGGAGTTATAGCCCTGACATTTATTGTTTGCCTTCTGTGGTTTTATTTGATATATTTGATAAGAATACTTATATTGTACCTACAAGTTTAATACCTTTGAATAAAAGTTTTATTTTTATCATACTTTTTAATATATTTTTGTTTGTGGCTTAACAAAATAGGAGTCTTCAAATGGTGCGGATATTGGGGGAAATGGGTGTGGTTACTGGGGGGTGTGGCCACTGAAGGGTGTGGTCACTGAGGGGTGTGGTCACTGCGGGCGCTGTAAAGCTTTCTCGCACAGGGCGCCATATATGCCTAAGGCTGGCCCTGGTTGGTATGATGTTCTTTTTCTGAAATGCGGTGTTCCTCTTACGCCAGATGTAATGGGACACACAACTTCCAAAAAGTTCAACTTTTGTCTTGTCAGTCCACAGAGTATTTTCCCAAAAGTCTTGGGGATCATCAAGATGTTTTCTGGCAAAACGGAGATGAGCTTTTATGTTCTTTTTGCTCAGCAGCGGTTTTCGTCTTGGAACTCTGCCATGCAGGCCATTTTTGCCCAGTCTCTTTATTATGGTGGAGTCATGAACACTGACCTGAACTGAGACAAGTGAGGCCTGCAGCTCTTTGGATGTTGTTGTGGGGTCTTTTGTGACCTCTTGGATGAGTCGTCACTGCACACTTGGGGAAATAATGGTTGGCCGCCCACTCCTGGGAAGGTTCACCACTGTTCCATGTTTCCACCATTTGTGGATACTGGCTCTCACTGTGGTTCGCTGGAGTCCCAAAGCTTTAGAAATGGCTTTATAACCTTTTCCAGGCTGATAGATCTCAATTACTTTCTTTCTCATTTGTTCCTGGATTTCTTTGGATCTTGGCATGATGTGTAGCTTTTGAGGATCTTTTGGTCTACTTCAATTTGTCAGTCAAGTCTTATGTAAGTGATTTCTTGATTGCGAACAGGTGTGGCTAGAGAAATTGAACTCAGGTGTGATAAACCAGAGTAAAGGTGGCCATACACTGTACAACCATCGCAAGACCTTAGTCTTGCGATGGTTGTAAAGTGATTAAAAAAACGTACGATCTGCCCATCTTGGACAGGCAGATCGCACTCTCGATCATCGCAAGCCCGCCCCCCTGAGGGGCGGGCTTCCAAAGACCGCAATGCTGAACGGGCAGTGTGCACACCTGGGTGTATTTTTTCTGCTCGTCTTTCAGCTCGTTTTTTTCGCGTTTTAATTTTTTTCCCCCCTTATTTTCTCTATTTAAAAAAAAAGAGTAACTTTTAAACTTCCCACCGGCTCCGCCCCCCTGCGACGCGGCTGCTTGCAAGGGACGGAACCCGGAAGTCGGCAGCCGCCGGAGGACACAGCGGGGATCGCGGACAAGGTAAGTCCTACGCTGTATTCCCGAGTGTGGCTCAGGGTTACTGCTTTGTTAACCCCGAGCCACACTCTGGAATACCAATGGAAACGCGCGGAAAAACGCCCCAAAGAAGCTCCTGTACTAAAACGCCCAGGTGTGAACCCGGCCTTAAGTTATGTTTTAACAGGGGTGAACAAACACTTTTTCACACAGGGCCATGTGGGCTTGGATTTTGTTTTCCTTAATAATAAAAACCTTCCTTTAAAAACTGCATGTTGTGTTTACTTGTGTTATCTTTGACTAATATTTAAATTTGTTTGATGATCTGAAACATTAAAGTGTGACAAACGTGCAAAACAATGAAAAATCAGGAAGGGGACCAACACTTTTTCACACAACTTTAGATTATCTTTGATGTAGCTGCTTTCCTGAAATTCAGTAACATAGTACCTCCATCTGGCTTTGCATTAGCCTCCTTTAAACCCCTGCACAGCTAAACTCATACTGGGATTTCAAAGGAAAGCACTTTACTGTATGCGAGGAAGGTTCTAAAGCACTATCAAGATAACAATGTGAGACAAAAGAAGAATAAACCCAAATAACTTCATTAAAGGGCTAATGCTTCATTCACTGTCTAGGCAAGGGCTGGGCCAGGTAGGTGAGCAAGCTGTACTGTGTAAGCACAGTGAAGGAAAGTGAAGTCACGAGCCTGGCAGGGGTTCTAGGCAAATGTCTAAATAAACAGTTGAAACACACGTATACAACATTTTTACTAGCCAAGGGATTTGTAATTTACGAGTAAGTCCTATGATAGAGGCGCCCCGGTTGGACAGCGCAGCCAGTTCAGCAACTACAATTTTCCCCACAGCAAATAAGAAGTAGGTTTGGCCCTGGACTCATCCCCAAGCCGCTGACAACACTGCACTATGCCATTAAACCTGAGGATCACTCTGCATTCAAGTCTTAAGCTTGCTGCGTGGTAGATTACAGGGAGCTTGGATAAGGAGTGTAGTACTGATACTAATTTCAATTACAACCTCATATAACCACTTTATAAAAAATTAAAAAAACTGAATTAAGTTGTGAACTCCTAATATGTGCCTGCTCAGCTTCCATCCTAGATTACTAAGTGATTAAACATCCACATGTAGGTGATCCAAAGTTTAATCATGACCTCTTTACTTTTCCCATTCTCCCATCCCTAAAGATGCACTGTTGTATTCTCTCCCACAAGTATGTTGTTACATGTCCTCTGTATGAGCTATTCCCCTTTTCTTCTGCTAATCCCTGTATATTAACCAGGAGTATATGGGAATACCTTGGCAAGGAAGCAGAATGGTGGCACAGAGGACAAAACCTCAGTACTGCAACAATGTAATTGTGGCTTCATCTGTAGGCCCATCAAAGCATGTTGCATAAAGTCTCTACCCAGATTTCCTCTACTTGATTCTTCCTACATTTTAAAAACATCCATTAGAATCATTTGATTGTGCTGAAATGTCTCCTTGATGTATGGTATATAATGGCATGCAAAGGATATTGCATTGTAAGCTCCTCTTGGAATATAGATTGACATAAATGATTCGCTATTAGTTATAACGTGCTGTGGAGTTTGCCAGAGCTATATAAATTAATGAAATGATTATATAAAACAACCTTTTTCCACAGCTTAGGTACTTAGCTGGAATGTATCTAGAATGTTATAGGGAACCTGAACTTGCACACTGCACCATCATGGCTACACACAAAGCAGTAATCAGAGGGACACTTAGGAGTCTATCAGTGGAGCATTCCTCTGCTCCCAAGTACCAAGTCCAAAAAAAGAATCCGGCCACATCAGCTTAATTGAAACTCAACAAATGCCATTCAGTCCCACCCATGGTCTGTCTCTCTCTGATACATTTCACCCAAATCAGGTACTCCTAGAATGAGATCCTAATAGGTTGGACTTGATGGACTAATGTCTTTATTCAACCTCAAATACTATGTAACTATGTAACTATGTAAAATGGGCATAGTTGTAGAGCCTGTGTCAGAGACCTACTGCTTCTGCGCATGCGCCAAGCCATGGTTCCCGTAATGGGCCTGTGCGCATGCGCGCGCCAAGGACTGTCCGCGGAAGAACGCTCTCCAAAAGGCTCACAGGAAGTGACACTCTCCAAAAGACTCACAGGAAGTGATGCTATCCAAAAGGCTCACAGGAAGTGACACTCTCCAAAAGACTCACAGGAAGTGATGCTATCCAAAAGGCTCACAGGAAGTGATGCTATCCAAAAGGCTCACAGGAAGTGATGCTATCCAAATCATTTCCTTCACTATTTAAACCCAGACTCCACACCTACTCATTGCTGGATTGTCTCTTCAACCTCCCTGACGTCGCCTGATCCTTGTTTCCAGTACCATTGATTATCGACCCGGATTGACTTTGACCTTGTTTGCCTGCAGCCTGCCTTTGACCTCGGAACGTTTGACAATTCTTGTTTGCCTATACCCTTGACCTCGGATTGCTTCACTGGACTGCCTACGCCTTCTCCTTTTGTACTTGCTCTGCCTGCTCGGTGTGACCTCGGCCTGTTGACCTCGGATATCAAGATTTACAAGACCCTGCCGCAAAACCAAGGAGTGGCCTGCACGGTGGAACCGCCTCTGGCCCTCCTGCCACTCATTGTCTATAAGGACTCTGTCCCCAATACCAGAGTCCCTAGGACACGAGCTGCAAGGGAAGCCTCCTCCTACATCCAGTCTCCGCACAGGTACGTGATAGCCTGTCTTGGGTGAAATGCATCAGAAGGGGTGGACCATTAATGTTACTGAATGGCACTTGTCATGTCTTAATTAAGCTTTTACAAACCAGTGATGACATTGGTGTGCATCCGGATTCTTTGTTTGGACTTGGTATTTAGAATGCTGTTATTGTTTCCTTCATCACACCTAATAACATTTTACAATCTTTCAGGAAAACCTTTTTACTCACATCCTACATAAGGAAAATTGCCCAGTTTTCCAAATACAGGAAAACTAAACCCAGATTTAGAAAATCTTGCAGCCAAATCTTGCAGGGTGACGGGAGGACGCTGGTTTGTGTCCTCCCGTTACCCTAAGGAGAACTATGGGGAAAAGCCTTAACCCCATAGTTCTCCTTTAAGGGCTAACTAGTTCTGCCAGCCCAGACCTGGCGTACCAACACAATAGGCTCAATTCAGGAGAACATAAAAGAATAAGGATTGTTATTTTCATAAAAATGACAGGTATTTTCAGCAAAATACAATGAGATATGAAAATATCAGTCACATGGCTACAAAAAAGATTCTTACCCTTGTAAGTCTTTATAAATTAAAGTGAATGAGGGAAATTTATCGAGTCTGGGGCAGACAAAAACTGGAGCAGCTGTGCATGGCAACCTTTTTATTATTATTATTATTATAGGATTTATATAGCACCAACAGTTTGTGCAGCGCTTTACAATATAGGGCAGACATTACAATCACAATACAATTCAAGACAAGATGGTAAGGAGGGCCCTGCCCCTGAGAGCTTACAATCTAAGAGTCTACATTATTAATAATCATTACCAGTATCCTAATATACAGGTTTTTCTCACATGTGTAATGTTTGAGATGTTTGAGAAGATACATGTATGACAATCACAGCAGAAACCTATAATGTTACATTCAGCTGTAACATTGTATTCTTTTTTTAGTTCATGTTACTATGGAAATCAAGTCCCAGTTATTGCCATGAATGGATGCTTATGTCAGCAGATAGCTAACCCGTTACCCCTTCTATACAATACTTGTACTGAACATCTAACAATTAAGTCCTTTTCACAGCTGTGGCAAGGCTGTGCCTGGATGTCAAATGAAAATAGTTAAGAAGGACTCGGATGGAAATGGAGAAATCTGTTTTTGGGGCCGGACAGTCTTCATGGGTTATATGAACATGGAAGAAAAAACTAAAGAGGTTTTTGATGAGGATGGCTGGTTACATTCAGGAGACATTGGCAAAATGGACACTGATGGCTTTCTGCAGGTGACAGGCAGAATCAAAGGTATTTTTTATTTTTAAATGTCTCTACCAATTGTCTAATATATCTGTACACAGTACTTCTGTAGAAAGATGCAGCTGTCACTGGCTAGGTCAACATATGGCCCTCCAGTAGTTGAAAAAGTGCCATGGCCTGATTACAATGTCTCACCTAATTCCTATGTCTGCCTTTTTAGTTAGAACACCTATCACTTTACTCATTTTACTTTAATTTAACTACAGACATTTTATAAGGGAAGAAATCTGACTGAAGATCTTATGCTTAAAAAGTGCACACATAAATGTGCCCTATCAGTGTGCATTGGCAGACAGAATCAGCTACTGTTTAAAATATTCTAATCTGGGATACTGTGTTTATTGGTACTTTTTAGATAGCCTGCTTATAATTACACAGCAGAGTTCATTGCTCTGCAAATTCTTTTTCCTTTTCCTCATACAAAGGGAATAGCAACTTCATGAGCAAAGGAAAGACACACTGAAGCAAATAAGAATCACCTAAAAGTATACTGCTTTTGACTTGCTTCTTAGTCTGATGCCTGTATACATGTGCCATATGCGTGTATAATGCAAGGGGTTGTTCTGTCCCAAGACTAGCACCACTCCAAGGAATTGGTTAATGAAAACTACTGTATGGCAGGGAATGGTTGCCCACACAGGTTCATTTTAAGAGCAGAATATAAACAAACCCAACCAGCTGACATTGCAATACATTTCCTATCTGGCTTACCTTCCCTAGATAAGACTGCACAAGAATTACCAATCTGGTTTTGTAATGCGTGCTCTGCTTTGTGAAGCTGCAGATACATAAAGGGCACCTGATTTCTGTGAATATCCTAATACAATGCGATTTAACAGCCTTTGAACGTGGGATGATTGTTGGCGCTTGGAGCCATGGAGCGAGTATCAGCAAAACAGTAGAATTTGTTAAATGTTCAAGAGCAGCTGTTAAACTGTTTAAAGACTGGACTGTCAGCCGAAAATCTGGGTCTGAACGTGCGAATTGTGGCCGTCGGCGACCAGTCAATGTTAGGGCAGAACGGAGAGTGGCAAGACTGGTACAAGACAACAGAAGGGCAACAGTGCAGTGTCAGATTCCTCACATCACCTTTCAACATCTCGTGGAGTCACGAGGCGGCCCAACAAAGTCATCTCGTGGCCCAACTAAGTACTGATGGGGTGGTTATAATAATCTGGCCACTCAGTGTATATCATTCATGCTGCATAAATAGGTGAGAAAGTCTCTGCAGAAAGTTAAACACCAAAAGGCTGCAGGCTTGGATAATATTTCAGGCTAGGTTCTTAGGGACTGTGCACAGTAGCTTTCAGAGGTGTTGATGGACATCTTTAATAACTCCCTTTCTCTGGCGACTCTTCCTACATACCTTAAGACTACTAACACAAGTGTTCCTATCCCAAAGAACTTAACAGTGTTATCTCTGAATGACTATTGCCCAGTAACACTAACCCCAATCATTTATGAAATGCTTCAAAAGGCATATGAAGGAGACCAACCTCACCAGTGGGCCCCATCAGTATGCATACAGACAGAACTGATCGAATGCACATGCATGCTTATCACTTATAGCTTATGCTAGCTTATCGGTGGTTCACTTGTGTTAGATTCTTATGTTTTTTGGATTTTGGCCTTCAATGCTATTATTCTGCAAACCCTGATAAATTGACACTACTTGGAGTGAGCTACTGTGTGCTGTTTGGTACTGGATTTTTTAACAAGTCTGTTACAATTCACAATATTTGATCCTCTTACATCATCCACAATACCGGTTCCCCCCAGGGATGCGTCTTGAGCCCCTTACTGTGCACACTGCTGACCTATGATTGATCAGCAATCGTACAGTGAAGTTTGCAGATGATACGGCAGTAGTGGGACTCATACAAGTCCATGCACATGCAGGAAGTAGAAAATCTGGAAGTCTGGGGCAAAGTTAACAAAACCCATTAACGTAAAGAAGACAAAGGAGATAACTGTGGACCTGAGGAAGACCGGAATCACTTTCCCTCCTCTCTACATCAGGGGTGCAGCTGTTGAGATGGTCCCTTGCTTTAAAGGAGAACCATGAGGTGAGTGCTTTTTACTCACCTCATAGTTCTAGCCGACCTGTGACAATGAGACTGTCACAGGTCGGCTCAGTAGATCGGGAGGTGAGCGAACACATACCGGTATTCGCTCACTTCTCGATCCTGTCACGGCTCTCTGCCGTGACAGGGGAGGGGCTGGATTCCCACCTCCCCGATCCACCAGCGCTGACTGGCGGAACGGACGGGGAAGGGTACAGCTGGCTCTGCCTCTAGATAGGCAGAGCCAGCTGTCACTCACGCAGCTGGGCGGATCTCGACATCCATGTAGCTCGCGGTATACTGACCTTAGGGTGACGGGAGGACGCTAGTTTGTGTCCTCCCGTTACCCTAAGGAGAACTATGGGGAAAAGCCCTGACCCCATAGTTCTCCTTTAAATAGTACACATCTCTGATAACCTTACCTGGAGCACCAATACAGCCAGCATAGTCAAGAAGGGCTATCATTGCCTTTACTTTTTGGGGACATTGAAGTGTTCTGGCCTTGGTAGGTCTTACTCTTTGGTATGGTAATTGCTCTGTTGTGGATAAACAGGCACTGCAGCCGTTGGTAAAGACTGGCCAGAGAATTATTGGCAGCAATCTTCCCACCACCCATAATATTTACAACAGCAGGTGTATGAAGATGGACCTCAATATTATGAGGGACTCTTCCCATCCTGTTTATGCTCTTCCTTAAATCAGAGGTTATGTAGCTTTAAGCCTTGAACACCAGGCTTAGGAACTTATTTTTCACTGATGCTGTGCTTTTGACAAATTCTACATAACCCTTTATTATTGCTGCTATTATTAGTATTTATTTTCTGGGAATCACTGCAATTTGAGATTAAAATAGACATAAATCATGTTGTGCGTTTTTATGAACACATTGTGTCACATTGATGTAAATGGCAAAAACGCGCAAAACCAATTGCAACACGCGTTTCCAAGCTTTTCCTATTGACTCTGTGGGGACAAAACGAGCTGTAATCTGCCAAAAAGAAGCTCATGTACTTTTTCCAGCGACAGGCGTTTTGCTTATTGCGACAAAACGCTCAGACGTGAACAGGGGCCATAAGAATGAATGGGATTTTTTGCGGGAAGCTTTTTGTCACGATGAATCAGCTGCGACAATACACTCAGTGTGAACCAGGCCTAAACACATACAAGTAGTACCGTTCTGAACACACTGACAGCTGGATTGGGCGACAATCATCTTTCCTCTATGCATACCTTAAGTTGCAAGGCTTTTTGTATTTTGATGATAGTAGATTTATTACTAGCAGATAAAGCATATATTCTACAGAATCATTGTATGTTCTGTCCAACAGAGCTTATCATCACGGCTGGTGGTGAGAATGTACCACCCATCCCTATAGAAGATGCCATTAAGAGACACTTAGCAATTGTGAGCAATGCAGTGCTCATTGGCGACAGGCGGAAATTCCTGTCCATGCTTCTTTCTCTGAAGGTATTTTATGTTTCTTTTCAGCTTACTTTGGTCATGTTTAAACACACAGTACATCATAATATACTTCTCTCCAGTGCACAGTTGACCCAGAAAGCATGGACCCCGCTGATAATCTGACCCAGGAAGCAATCCAGTTTTGTAATGACGCTGGCAGTAAGTCCACAACTGTGTCTGAGATTGTGGGACAGAAGGACCAGGCTGTATACAAAGCAATTCAGGAAGGCATAGACAAGGTCAATAGTGAAGCAGCTTCAAATGCCCAGCGTATTCAGAAATGGGCAATCCTGCTCAAGGATTTTTCAATAACAGGAGGTGAAATGGGTGAGTAAAAACAAATTATACTGTTTCACACTAACTTGTCAAAATTGGCTGTGAAGATTCCCCCTATCACAGATGAAAAAAAAAATCAATTTGACAGGTAATGCCTGTTTCACAAGCCTTTGGCCTATAGACTGACTTGTAAGCATTAAAGTAGAGCATTAGAACAGAGAAGGGTTAAAACCTCTAACAGATTAATTTTTTTGTTTGGGTGGGACCAGGTCATGATCAGCAAGTGAGGAGATATCTAAAAGTTGACAATGGTCACCAGAACCGGAGTCGAAAGAAAATGTCTCAGCTATGACATCTGTTCTGGTGACACATGCTGCTTCCTGTTGCATCTTTGGAACAGGAAGGAAGGAAAACTCTCTTAAACGGGGCAAGAGGCAGCAATAAACATCTGAGAGGTTATAACACTTCCCTAACCTTTTTAAAACTAGGAAAAAGTATTCGGGCTAGTGTTTCACTTCAGTAGGCCCATAGGTTTGACCTATCCATCTAGCAGAATTGGCTTGTGTACACTCCGCTAGTTTATTAATTCTAAATATACTAAGCAACAATGTGTTATTTATTATGTTTGTATAAGGAATAATGTAAACTGCTGGCCTTATAAGTATTGGTAAGTCACAAAGTGAAATGATCAGGTGTCTGATGACATTTTCTGTTGTTTTAGGGCCAACAATGAAAATAAAACGGCATGCCATTCTGGAAAAGTACAAAGATATGGTAGAGACTTTTTACTCAGGGTAAAACAAAATACGTAGTGCCACCAACACTTTGAAATAGTCCCTTCAAGTTCAGGTGTGGAGATTAATGTCCATTGTCTTGACTCAAAGATCAATAATGATAATCAATCGTGAGGTTCCTGAGCTATGACTGGTAGGTGGAAATGTGTTAGAACATAACCCTTCTCCATTAAAATGTCCATAGTAAATAATGGGGAACATTTACTAGATTACATCATATACAATCCTCCTACACTGTATCTTTGCCTAACTACTGTGCTTTGATTATAGGGGGATACATGGTCCTGACTCAGGAATCACTGTCCTTTGTATTGTTGTATAATCTTGGAGCAATAAGTGATGAAATGCAATGTACCTTACATCTAAAATAAGTCTATTTTTTCCAAACCATTGTAAAATCCAACCTTAAGGCTCCCTAGCTCCTGTTCTAAGTTACAAGTACCTGAATACTCTTACTGATTGCTGGTACTTTTAGCCTCTACATCTTGTATGAAATGCTTCCTGTCCTTCATGATTTGATATAACAAAATATCGACTCTAGCAGGATAGTTGCGGATAGCAACCTGTTGTTCGTATTAATTTTCAGCTCTCTACGAGCAATGGCTATTCCTTCTACTTTTTCAATATAGCCTGTTCACCTTTTCACAAAATGTAAAAGCAGACTCCTCATCGCCCCTGGTTCCTGCTGCACCTTACCCGGTCTCTGCTGTGATGCTTCACCCCCCCCAATGTGGTGATCCATGCAGTGGCGTAACAACCGGGGGGGCACTTGCCCCGGGCGCAG